CTAGATAGATGTTTGTCTCTCAGATTTTTTAGTTTCTTTTAATATTGGTCGTGGTTGAATAAATGTTCAAGATGCAGTGCCAAGGTTCTAGAGCCACTGTTTTTGACAATTTATTGGAATATAAAATAAACTGCAACAGATGTGCCATTTTGTGGCAACTGCTTCCATTGTACAATATCTCGCTAAGTCTTCTCTTCGTCGCTCCAAATGAAGAGGGAACCTTATAGAAGAGTGATCAAGAAAATTTAATCTAATTAGACATTAAATGATGCGTTTAAACTCCGCGGAATACTATACATGGAGGATTTGTAAGAGAATATGTGGTTATTATTATACAGGAGCATTTTCTGCCAAGCTGCGACTGGACACCTGCAAAAGGGACTTTCCATCGACAGAAAATTTGAGTTTTCAAGTGGTAGGTCAGCTTAAATATGTGGTGAAACATTTCTCGTGACGGACGAATTTTCATGGAGGACACGGAAGAAGAGTGAAAATAAGGACGAGACAGAGGATGAGGACGGGGAAACGGGATATGAATATAAAATGAACTGCAACAGATGTGCCATTTTGTGGCAACTGCTTCCATTGTACAATATCTCGTTGTCATCTCTTCATCATTCCAAATGAAGGAGGAATCTTAGAGGAGAGTGTTCCAGAAAATTAATTCCAATTATATATTAAATGATACAATTTGGTTCCGCGGAGCACTATAAAATGAAGAGCTTTTAAGCTACGTGCTGCCTCAAAATGTGTTTATTATTAAACAAGAGCAACTTTTGCCAATGTGTAACTGGAAATCTTAAACATGTATCATTGCCAGGCAATCTGAGTTTTAATCCGGTTGGTCAGATTTAGTATTTGCGGAGTAATTTTTCTGTGACGTCCTCTTTTTCGTGAAACTCCTCCCAGGCGGAGGACACAGAAAAGGAAAAGAAAAATGACAAGGCAGAGGATGAGAAAGAGGAAACGGCACACGAGGAAGGACGCAGCCAGAGTTCGAGCAAGTCATGGTCAACTGCTCCGAATGCAGCTAAAAGCAAGAAAATTCCACAACGTCCTCGAATAAATAAGGAATTCCAACACATTAGAAGAATAGAGAAGCAGCGGGCTCGTTGCTTCCCGGAGACTACCCTGGCTGAAGAAATGAAGGGCTTGGCGAAACTGATTCAGTCTGGGGTCGACGGGAAACCGGCCATTTACGAGCTCTGGGCATCCGTCGTGGTGGAAAATAAGGAAATGGGAATAGCGAAATTTGACATCGGGCCACGGCTGCGGAAGCAGGATGAGAGGGTTCTCATGGTCGTGGGGAAGACCGGTGCAGGTATAGCCAAACTTCGAAAACCGGGAAAAAGTCCCAAATTTACCAGATTTGATTCCTTCCATGTTTTCCTTGGGTATTCTTTTTTCCCATCGTAATATTACAGACTGTCACTCTTATTAAAAAAACACTGATAAACGGTCGTTGTTTCTGTAGTACTACTATATGGGTACACTACGGAAAAAAAGAAATCCCAAATAAGTCATGGGCGTAATGTTTACAGTTTGAAGCTGACTAAAGGGAATAATTCGCTTCAGCTAAAAAGACAAAAGCGATAATAAAAATAACTTAATAAAAAAGTGTCCCCTTTCATGAGCTCGAAAGTGCTGGTTGTATTCAGATATTAGCTGTTTCAAAAAGGATGGTTCGGAAGGTTAGACTAGGACTGGCTAGAGATCCTATATATTAATGAGTTCGAGTTACTCACGTTATTAACTGCTACTGACCCTTGAGGATAAGTAAGAGCAAAACAGCATGCAAGCGCAAATGATGCGATCTGGAAAGAGATGATATTGTGAATGACCTGCCCGAAATAGAATAGTGAAGGAATCGAGACGGGAATTTGGGAGGAATTGAGTATGAAGGAGTTAGCTCTGCACAACAGAGGCTTAGAAAAAAAGAAATATGACTTCACCTCATGTTTTCCTTTATTTTAAACATTGGGTGACATGCACCTCCCCGGTTTATGAGCTAAAGTCATCTGGCAACAGGCCAATATGTTTAAGAAAGAGTTGAACACATCGTCAAACTGACTTGTGACATGCACCAATGCAATCAGTTTACTTCTACCTTGAACAAATATACATAGATAAATTCGTTCCATAGGAGGTTTAAATCCCTAAACGGATTCTCAGAGGTAGTTCATTGAGCTGTTTTGCCTGTGTGAGCCTCTTATTTCTTGCTTTTCATCATCTAGCGACGGTGGAAACGAAAACTCACAATGAGATAGAGGTATTTTTTGAAAATCCTGAAGCATACTACCAAAAGGTCTGTCAGAGTTCGGCTTAATTCTCATGAATGGTTCAGCGAAGACAAATTCCGATGAATGTTTCGTCCTTCCAAGGACCCCGTCGTCAACTTGGTTCGGAGGATGGAGCAGCATGCGACACTTAATACTGATCATTCTCTTTCCAAATGCATCAACATAAAGGAAATATACGTTCTTTAAATATGGGAATTAACGTGTTCACCGAAAATAACATGACTTTCGGTGGTGCATGCAAACGATGAATACATTCTTAAGCATGTTTTAAAAAACAAACATGTTTATCTCGTTTTCAAACTAAATCGATTTCTCAATTGCTTCGTGTTACCCATTATGAAGTGAGAACTTGCAATGAATACTCGGAGTTCAATAAGTAACTCACTAAATTACTTTCAAAGTACTTACGTTTGAATGAGAATTGCATTCTTGGGTATAGAATTTTGGACCCTTTTGAATGACAATTCGGATGGACCTGTAGTTCCGAAATACCTATGTTTCAGGCGAGCTCCTTTCAGGCTGGATTTTTTTTTACACGTGGCATGCATTAATATCAGCAGGTTATTAATGAAAATTTCTTTAATGCCACTGGTATAGTGCCTTCTATCGATTGCTCGTTATAAATTAGAGAACTAATATTTCGAGAGATCTTATGACAGTAAATGAGTGGGTTTTTTGCGGTTTTCGCGGTTTTGTTTTCCTTCACTCCCTTTTCAAGCTTGACCCTCTCTTTTATTTCACATCCTATAGGAAAGACGACGATGATTAACAGTCTGGCGAATTACGTGTATGGCGTTCGATGGGAGGACGACTTCCGGTTCAAGGTCATCACCGAGAAGGGCGACGTGAATGCGAATGACAAGGCCAACAGCCAAACGAAAGGGGTCTCCGCCTATTCCTTTTGGCGAATTACGTGTATGGCGTTCGATGGGAGGACGACTTCCGGTTCAAGGTCATCACCGAGAAGGGCGACGTGAATGCGAATGACAAGGCCAACAGCCAAACGAAAGGGGTCTCCGCCTATTCCTTCAACTGGAAGGAGGGGATGACGATCCCGTACACGCTTACTGTCATCGACACTCCTGGGTTTGGAGACTCCGAGGGCCTGCACAGGGACGAGGAACTTGTTGTCAAGGTCAATCTCTAGTTCCAGCAATATGATTAGTAGTTAACTAGGAAGAAAATTTCATATTTGCCTGATTGTGATAGCGGGAGCTTCATTATCGTCATATAAAGGGAAAAACTATTTTTGCCTTCATTTCCTCCGATTTCCTCTCTTTCCATTTACGATTTTTTAGTATTTTAATTAATTAACTTCAACCGCTGACTCGTCAGAGATCCCTTAGAGGATCTTCCAGGCCTCAAACGGAGGGTATTAATTGGCCACCAAGAACTTTGCCACTCCTGTATTTTCGTCTCCACCTTTGTTGCCCTTCATTGGACTCTCAATGATCTGGAAAACTTTGATCGCACTACCAGAGGGGAACCATGAATCAGCACCGTATTCTGCACCTCAAGTCAGTGGTTCAGCGTGAATACCTTCCGGGGGATGAGGGTGAGAGAGGCCTGCAAGGAGAATGGCATTTGCACTACCGTGTGATCATCTTAACTGCTTTTCGACTACTTACAAATGCCAACGACCCCCTCCTAAGCCATGTGATACGAGCGCGTGGATAGATGATCATTTATGTTCAAAATTGCAGAACGAGCTGCAAGACCTATTGGGTTAGAGCTGGATTCTGAACCTCAACCAATTTTTGAGGGCATTAATATCCAAGCCAACAATGAACGTGATACAACTATTCGTAAGGTCAGGCGCCGCGTGTGTTAGGCAGAAACTAAACTGCTTCTGGAAGGCCATTTCCAGAAGACATCCCATGGCAAGTACTTCGAGGCGATACGTACCCATGGGCTGTCGCTGGAGTTGCCCCATGCATGGATAAGATTATTTGCCCCATGCTCAGACAAAGCCGTTTTTGACAGCAGCCCAGGATGGCGTTTTACCCACACTGTGGTACCGAAATTCCATCCTAAAGGAAGAACTGGGATTAATCACAAGTCAAGCAAGTGGGATCCAACCGGTGCTCCACCTGCTGTCGGCATGTAACCGGGCATGTGACCGATATCGCCCTGCTGGACAAGAAAGAAGGAGAACTCTACGTGATCGAGTTCTCCTGCTCAGCGGAAAAAAAGATTCAGAGGGAAAGAAAAGGAAAAAGATGCAAAATATTTAGATCTCATGTTCGAACTTCAACAAACATCCAGGTCATAAAGTCGCGCTCGTAATCATTATCATCGGTTGCCTCGGAGGGACGAAGGACACAGTCTTGTCGGCACTGAAAGAATTCCAGTTTGTCGACCAGTAGCCAAATCTCTGGGCAAAAAGCATGCAAAACCAGGTAAACCTTAGTTCTCTTCGTGTTCTACGGATCAACTTAACACGCCAAAGAACCCATGCTTCCCCGCCCCCCCCAATTGTGCGTTAGGGTTTTTTCAACACCTGTCCGCATGCCCCAGGAATGACGAGAGGACGGAAAGACCTCCCGGGAAGGTCCATCGCTGATGTAGAGAAGCAGACCGGCAGGATATGTATTTTAAGTACGCGTAACACACATAATAATAATAATAGACAAGTTTCATCCACATCCAGTTGTTGCTCAGAAGATGATGCTGCAATTGCTTGATTTCAATGGGAAATTTAAAGCACAATTCTATCATTTCACACTATTTTCTCCCTCCATCCCAGTGAAATGTAAATACTGTGTATTCACCGGTCAAAATTGTTTCCTTCAATAGATGCGGGAGTTCTTCGAGATATGTGAACCACGTGGATTGAAGAGTGTGAACGCCGTGGGATTCGTGCTTCCCGCTTCCACTTCGAGGCTGACGGCCGCAGAAAAGTACATATTTCACGCCATCACCCAACTCTTTGCTATTGACACGAAAGAGAAGTTCGTGGTGCTTGTCAGCTTCTGCGACGGGCAAGAACCAGCGGTTATCGCCGTCATTAAGAAGGCCAAGCTGCACTACCAAGACTATCACACCTTCAACAACTCCGCCATGTTCGCTTGTAGTAGAGATCCCATTTGTCATGACGTCAGGCATAATGGCTTCAGCCGAGCCATTCTCATTTAAGATCTTCCTGCATAAACTCGAGGCCCTCTTCGCTTGCTCCAAGTGCTCGATCCGCTTCTTAAACCCATCTTGGGCGTCCTTTTTTTCAGCTTCGATCAGAAAATCTATGTATTCCTCCAGAGTCAATGGATTCGGGTTGAGAGCGATTTCCTTCAGACGGACCGTGATCTGATGCGCCTGCTGGATCCGGGCGAACAATTCCACTTGGTTTTTCTTGATGTCAGTGGAAAGTGCCTTCACATCCTTCTCCAGATTCACTTTTCTCTTAACCTGATGGGTAACACCTGCCAAGTTTTCTTGACCCTTATGCCTGTATACCGCCTTTACTTCGTACCGTTTGGCTTCCAGACAGTGACTCCTCCAAGAGCAGCCGCATTTACTGCATTTAATTTTCTTCTGTTCGTTCCAGGTCATACGATTGCCGTGCTTGACGTCCTTTGGTTTGGAAATCGATGTCGAGAATTCGCATGTGGTCCTTCCGCAGTCATTGCAGTTTATAGCCCACTCCTTGTGGGTTGAAAGATGGGTTTTCACTCGTTCCTCCGTGACATCCACGTTCTTAAGCACCTCCTCTCTTATTTCTTTGAGCTGTCTGCATTTTTCCTGAAGATCACTTATTTTGGATAAGGCTGAAAGTAGAAAGAAGGCAATTCTACAATTTGAAAAAAGTTCGCTGGTGAAAGCACCATCCAGTAACCAGACGCGCTCGGGTGAGCCCTCTTATAGGTCATGCTGGCAAAGTATTGGTAGGTATGAAAGTGAAATGGGAGATAAGTGGAGTGTCAGAAGATACCTGTATATATGTGCCTCAAAGGTCTAACGTCCAATTTGTTGACTGATGCCTTTGTAACTAACGAGTTTCACATTTATTTTTGTTTATTCATAGGATGGACTGTGAGTTCATGAAATTCAGGTGACGATTCCCGCATTTCTTATTAGTGCCATATTTTCAATTTTGAAGCTAAGCCTTTGTTGAGATGTTAATCTGACACGGCGACAAACTCACATCTGAAATTTGCACAAAGAGACTCATCAATACTCCTAAGAAATAAAATGTATAAAATGTTACTCAGTTTCTCCGGAGTTCTCTCACCTCTTGGGATTTGTTCCTGCAAATCAAAGTCCCAGAGTCACTCTCAAGCAGATAGTACATCTTGGAAGAAGCAGTACCGCTCCGTTTGTCCGCGGTAGAACAGGTTTCTAAGGTCCTTTCGGAACAACGAAAACGTAGGGTTTAGGGTTTTGATCTTTTGCTACCCTAGAGATGATGTTCGCTTGTACCGCCTCAACAACTTCCACACTATCAGAACCATCACGTCGAACCGGAAGAATTACTGCCGCTATTGGCGACCAAGAACGGGCAGCGTCTTCGACTGTTCGTGCACGAACTTCTCTTTCGTGTCAATAGCAAAGAGTTGGGTGATGGCGTGAAATATATACATCTCTGCGGCCGTCAGCCTCGAAGTGGAAGCGGGAAGCACGAATCCCACGGCGTTCACACTCTTCAATCCACGTGGTTCACATATCTCGAAGAACTCCCGCATCTATTGAGGAAACAATTTTGACCGGTGAATACACAATATTTACATTACACTGGGATGTAGGGATTTCAGGAGAAAAATGCGGGAAATGCGGGTGTGAAATGATTGAAGTGTGTTTCAAATTTTCCATTGTAATCGAGCAATTGCAGCATCATCTTCGAAGTAACAACTGGATGTGGATGAAACTAGTTTATTATTATTATTAAGTGCGTTCCGCGTACTTAAAATACATATCCTGCCGGTCTGCTACTCTACTTCAGCGATGGACCTTCCCGTGAGGTCTTTCCGTCCTCTCGTCATTCCTTGGGGTATGCGGATAGGTGTTGAGAAAACCCTAACCCCCACAACATGAGGGGGGGGGAGAAGCATGAGTTCTTTTGCGTGTTAAGTGAACCCGTAGAACACGAAGGGAACTAAGGTTTACCTGCTTTTGCATGCTTTTTGGCCAGAGATTCGGCTACTGGTCGACAAACTGGAATTCTTTTCAGGGCCGACAAGACTCTGTCCTTCGTCCCTCCGAGGCAACCGATGATAATGACTACGAGCGCGACTTTATGACCTGGATGTTTGTTGAAGTTCGAACATGAGATCTAAATATTTTGCCCCTTTTTGTTTTTCTTTCGCTTTGAATCTTTTTTTCCGCTGAGCAGGAGAACTCGATCACGTAGAGTTCTCCTTCCTCCTTGTCCAGCAGGGCGATATCCGGCTTCGTGGTCGTCAGCTGTCTCGTCGTGGGAAAGCTGTAATCCGACGAGATGCGACAGGCCTTATTCTCCACGAAGAAGGCAATATCTTTTTCTGCATGCGGGAGAGCAGGTGTTCTGTCAATATTTATATGACGATATTGAAGCTCCCGCTATCACAATCAGGCAAATATGAAATTTCCTTCCTAGTTAACTACTAATCATATTGCTGGAACTAGAGATTGACCTTGACAACAAGTTCCTCGTCCCTGTGCAGGCCCTCGGAGTCTCCAAACCCAGGAGTGTCGATGACAGTAAGCGTGTACGGGATCGTCATCCCCTCCTTCCAGTTGAAGGAATAGGCGGA